GAGCTAAAAGAATTCAGTTCAAGCCCCTTCTGTCATGGTTGGCTATACCTTCGGCATCTTAGTTTCATTTCTGTTTTCTTTAAAATGGAGGTTGTGGCTCACACTTGTAATCCTCGCCACTCAGGAGGCTGAGATCTGAGGACTATGGTTTACAGTGCAGGCCAAAAAAAATTTGAGAATTTTATTTCCAATTAACCCAACAAAAAACCTGAAGTGGAGCTGTGGATCAAATGGTAGAATGCAGCCTTGAGTGTAAAAGCTAAGTGACAGTGCCCTTAAATAAACAAATACACAAATACTCAAATGAAATATAAAATGGTGTTAGTAACTGCCACTGTGTGGTAGCTTATAATACTAGGAATAATATCTGTAGCACATTGTCTGGTGCACAGTCAGCATCTTATCAATAGGAATATTTATTATTAAGTGGTATTGCTGGGGCTGAAGAGACAAGAAAGGTAAATCAAAGCATCTGTGTTCTCAGGGGCTCCCACAGGAGGAGGGGAGACAGAAATACACACATGAGTAACTTTTAATCCTGGGCAGGCTGTGATAAGTGCTGTAACCAGCAGCCCAAACAATGCAGTAGAGAATAGGGGAGGGAACTATTCCAAGTCTGAGGCTGAAAGGGCTTTGTGTTTTGGGGGTGATGGTGAGGAAGGCGTGGGTTAACCTGAAAGGAAGGAAATCTGGAAGAGAAGTAGAGAGACCCACTGGTAGGAGTTCTGGGTTCCCCAGCTCCCACCTCTCCCCATTTTGTCAAAGATCTTGGAGCTCTGCAGTGCCCACCTCCCCCATCCCTTCCCACTCAGGACCTCTCTTCTGCTCCCTGTACTCCATGGGCTCAGCTAGTAACCTGCCTGAAAACCCTGGCAAACCTTAGGGAATCTAGTGGGAAAGACAAAGGATCCAACACCAGAGCGGCACCAGAGTCACAGCGCTCCAGTGTGACCCCAGTGTCACACCATGGGCCTGGGTATATCCAGGTGTCCCTGGGTATCATGTTTTAAAGAAAAGGCTGAGCAAGATTTGCCCCACAAAGCACATACACCTCCCTGCCTGCCTCTCTTGGTCTCTCTTAGTCTCTGTCTCTGCCCACTTTCTCATCTACCATGGACGGAATCGTTTGTACTCCATGAATATAATTGTCTTGACAGACTTTCTTGGTGCCTTTCATCCCGAGCTGTTTCTAACCAAGAACTTCTTTCTCTCCTCTAGTCCCTGTGTGGGTGTCTGTCTTTGTCTCTAGTTCACAGCATCATTTGTGCCTCTGTCAGCCTGCCGTGTGTGTGTGTGTGTGTGTGTGTGTGTGTGTGTGTGTGTGCGCAAGCTCATGTATTCCTGCACATGTGTGTATGTCCCTCTGCCTGACTTCACAGTGGCTGCTGCTTAAGAGTTTGTCCCTTCTGTGGTAGTGCCTGAAGACTTGGGGGCCCAAAGTAGGTGAGAATTCACTTTAAAAGCCCAGATCAGAAGTGTCTGGCTCTGAGGTCAGGCTGCTGATTTCAGGCTGCAAGGGAAGCTAGTCCGTTTTCACTTGCTGTCTGTGGCCAGGCCCGTACTGGTTCCCTCTCACCTGACTCCAGGCTCCACAGCTAGCAGTTTCCCTGCATTGCTGGACATGGGTTCAGGTTCAGGGGAGGGACTGAGCTGTCACTTCCAGTTCAGGATGGGGCTCAGTTCAGCATTTATGGCGGAAGGCTAGGCACTTAGGAACTCAGAAATGTGCTCCAGTGCATATATTGCTGCTTGCTAGGCCCCCTGTTGTGGTTGTAAGTGCCTTCTTGACTCAGGACATTCCAATATTTCCTTTGTGTCTGCCCTTCCTGCTAATGAGCTGTTGTGACTTGTTGCCTTGTCTGACACGTGCACCCTCTGTTCATCTTCTAGGTGGCCTGTGCGCTGTCACTTTCCCCCACCATTCCCCACAATTGAATCAGAACCTTCCAGAATCAGCTTGTACTCTCTTTCCCAGCTCTGTTCCTCTCCCCTTTTTCAGGGAGCTTCCCAAGACTGAATCCATGTCCTGCTTACCCCACTGTCCCTCCTCCTGCTCCGTCTCTGCCTGTGCTGAAGTGATGGGGGGCGGGGGGAGGCTTGAACTCTGGGCCTGGGCGCTGTCCCTCAGCTCTTCAGCTCGAGGCGAGCGCTCTGCCACTTGAGCTACAGCGCCACTTCCGGTTTTCTGGTGGTTTATTGGAGATAGGAGTCTCAAGGTTTCTCCTGCCGGGGTTGGCTTTGAACCCCGATCCTCAGATCTCAGCCTCCTGAGTAGCTAGGATTACAGGCGTGAGCCACCAGCGCCCGGCTCCTGGTAGGGGTTTTATAAGACATGACTGTCGACTTAGGCATTAGTTCATTCGCACTCCATCCATCAGCAGACTGACATGTAACATCTGTGGTCAGTCAGGTGCTGTGCCAGTCTGCCCCTGGACCCGGTGGGGAGGAGTGGGGAGTGCACCACAGTCCCTATTAGGGCAGAAGTAAGAAGTGGGTAGATGGGCCTGTGAGGGAATGCAGGCGAGGCATGGAAGACCTCCCAAAGGAGTCTAGTCCACACTTGTCATTGTCCAGGTGAGCATGTAAAGACCCACAAGAGGAAGTCATGCACCCAAGGTCACCCCATCCCTCAGTCAAGCCACATCATGATCTCCTGACTCTCTCACCAAGTGCTTCCCACCTCTACCCTGCCACAGAGCCAGCCTCCCCCTCACTCCAAGTAGACAAGGAGCCTGCTGCTCACTGCCCTCTGGAGACTTCAGCCAGAGACCAGGGTGTCCAGGCTCCATGCAGGAAAGCTATGAATATAAATTGCATCTCTGGGTCAGGCTCAATGGCCACCTCACTCTCAAGCCCTTGACTTGGGCTCAGGAGGCTGTGGGAAGGAGAAACGTGAGTGTGGAGGGCTTGCAGCTTGTAACTGCACTTGAGAAATGCGCAAGGATATGAATAAATTTGAATAATAATGAAGGCAATGCTTGAATTAATAATGCTGGCTGCTCACCTGACCCACCCATCCCCCCTCAGGATCTCAGCACCTGTCACATAGGCACTTGAATGTGGGTGAGCCTTATCCTTTCCTTCTTTAGGAGGTATGGATGGAAAGTCAAGTCTGTAAAGTTGGGGAGCCACTCACAAGTATGGGATTGGGACCCTGTTTGCAACTTCTTGTCTACCTTACCCCTCTCCCCCTGCAGACTCAGGGCAGAATTGGTACAAGCCACATATAAAAAGGCTGTGTCATGTTATGTCATATCTCACCATCAGTCCACTCCTGGACAACTTCTCAGCTCCTTTCGAGTGCTAACCCATTATGGATAGATGTCGAACTTGCAGGAAGACTCAGAAGGAAGAGGGAGCACTTCCCCCCCCCATTCTCCCTCCCCCCCACCAAGCACACCCTGGCCAAAAGGAAAAGGTATCTATTCCAGTGGAAAGGCTAGAGCAAGCACCCCCTCCTGCAGGCTGCCTTCTGTTTCCTGACAAACAAATGTGGGCATACGCTGTGGTAGCTTCAGACAGGAAGTCCCAGGGATTGTACTGTCTTGATAGGGCTGAGTGATGCTTGCCTCAGGGAGCAGAGATCAGTCTAAGAGGGCTTCCTGGAGGAGAGCAATCTGGAGTCTGGAAGAGATAAAAGAAAGAGGGAGAGGTGAGGGCCTGGATGTCCGTACTGTGATGGAGCTCTGTGGTAGACAGTGCTTGCCTAGCACAGTCTTCAGTTCCATCCCCAGTACCAAGAGAGGGAAGAGACTAGAAAGAAGCCTCTGCAGTAGTAGTTGATGGAGAGAGGTCCTGGAATAGAGAAAAGGAATACTCTTCACTGGTAGGGGGTCAGAGAAATTTTGGAGAGCTAGATTTGGGAAAAGGTTGAATTTGGAGACCATGGTCTCTGCAAAGATTCAGGAACCTGTGCTGAAAAGAAGAGCAAAGGACTCGGGTTCTGGGGAGAGGCGATTTTGATTACCTGGGTATGACCGATGTGGAAGCCCCAGCCCTCTCCCCTTTCCTGTCCCCCAGCTACTCTACCTCCTCCCTTCCCTTTCCTCAGAGCTCAACAAAGGGAGCTGATAACCACAGCTCCTGGGCTCTGCGAGGTGCCCAGGCCTGCCCCACCTCTGGGGCCAACCAGTGATGGAATAAGCGGGTGGGTGGGAGCAGTGGGAAAGAAGAAACCCGCAATCCAATTCCCTGCTCCATTTAGGCTCCACAATTAAAGGCAATTACACTGCAGTTCTCTAATCAAATGCTCCCGGCCAAGCTGCCAGCCGGGCAGCCATGTGTAGCTTCCCACAGCCGGAGGGAAAGTGGAACAAAGTCATGTGGCCTTTCCGTTCCCAAGGTGTAGGCGGCTGAGTGTGTGCAGGTGTGTTCATGTGCACACACCCCACTCCCATGCCCTCCACACTTAGATCCAGAGGCAAAACTCACTGAGTAAGACAGTGGGCCAGGAAACTTCTATAGTCACGTGCAGACAAGTTGGGCATACTGGCCCATAGAATCTGTCCTGCTGCTCCTGCTGGGAATTGTAGCTGTGTCCTGTGTTCATGATGTGGGTATCAGCCTGAGCTGCAAGGACGGGGCGAGGATCACAGCCATCTTTGCTGAGGAGGCAATATGTGGGCATAGAGAAACAACTCAGAACTGGAGGGCAGGGGGTTGGGCTCTAATCCTCGGGTAAGATCTTCTTCTCCCTGAACCTAAGTGTGTGTGCTCCACAAAATGAGTGGAGTGAGCCAGACCCATCTCCAAAGGCCTTTACGTAACACTGCACCATTCCTGTGATTGCTGAGCACTCCAGCTCCTGAAGCCCATTCCCCTGAGCCAAGACACAGAGGGAGAATGGAGCCAAGGGCGAGAATGTGCTACCTTGGAGGGGAGGGCTTGGTACTGAACTGGAGGGCCCTCTCCCCAGCCCAAGGCGGTACCCTTGCCACCTCAGGGAGTAAAGGCCTGTAGGGACTCATAGTGGAGCCCCTCCTCACTCATATTCTTGCCTAATGCCACCTTTGGCTTTGCCAGGCACCCAGACCCGCTTCAGCCAGGAACCAGCAGACCAGACTGTGGTGGCCGGACAGCGGGCCGTGCTCCCCTGTGTGCTCCTCAACTACTCTGGGATTGTTCAATGGACCAAGGATGGGCTGGCCCTGGGTATGGGCCAGGGCCTCAAAGGTGAGTGGGGGCTTGGAGGTGTGGCTCAGTGGTACACACACACAGAGTTGCACACACACACACACACACACACACACACACACACACAGAGTTGCACACACACACACACACACAGAGTTGCCTAGCCAGGCAGCGTCCAGATGGTCCCATTTTCATACCTAATCCACATTCCCAGGTTAGAGTCCTGGACTTGCCTGCCTTAATTCCTTAGCACACATACTCCCCAGTACTCCAGCCTCCGCTTTGCTTCTGAGCTCTGTCTCTCCCGCCCAGCAGCTCTGTACTTCTATATGACTGGGTAGGCTCAAGAAAGGCTATAGGAACCTGGTTGATCAAGGGAAACAGACCTTTGCATAAGAGAACTGCAGACAGACAGGCAAACAGACAGAACCAGGTGCTGCAGGCAGATGGATCACTCAGGAAGCCCTGGGACAGCCCAGCCCCCTGCAGGGGAGTGGGAACTCAGGCACTTGTGTCCCAGGATGCTTCAGGCTGGCTTCACGTGGGCTGACTCTGCTCTGCCTTGTTGCAGACTCTTTCCTCCCCCTGCACAGGCCATATCTGCTCTAAGGCTAGAAACGTATTATAACATCATCTTAAGCACTTGTTTATTCATTCAACAAGCATTTATTAAGCCTAGGTTGATGTAGCTGGTGTTGAAGAAGACATAGTGATTTTTCTGAACAAACAAAAAATTCCAGCCTCCTATATTCCAAAGCAAGCAGAGAGACCTTGGAAGGACTGCCTAGCAGGGTGGGTGAGGAATCAGGACACCTAGTGTTCATCCTCCTTCTACCTTCTGCCCACCTGGTGATATGGGGAGAGTCAGTTCCTTCTTTGGGCCTTGGTTTGCTGATCCATCTAACAGGTGCAACATGCTGGGGCCTGCCCACCTTACCTGAGCCCCTGTGAGTTCTGCACACACGTTAGCTTGAAAGCACTGGGATAGTGTAGAACACAACAGGCTGTGTAGAATTCCAGCCTAAGTATATTTGAGGCGGTTGAGATTATTTGCTCTGGGGTCCACGTATTAGAGCTGGTAGGGGAAATCTGCATAGAATAATCTGTTGAAAGGGAAGAGATGGGTCTGGTGGATCTATTGATGATGGAGAGAGAAAGAAACTGGGAGAGAGGGAGATCAATAGATATGGAGTGAGAAGAATCGATAGCCTCTGGACAGAGGGAGATAATGGGGAACGGGAGGGAGGAGGGCAGGGGAGTGGGCGGTCGTGGGCGGAAGCCTGGAGAAGGACAAGAGAGACTGAATTGAGAAGGCCAGAGGCCCACCCCTCTGCCATCTGCTGTGGTTGTGAAGGGAACTCAGACTGGTTTAGGGGCTCCTTGAGGGAACCAGCAGACCCTTCTCATCTGCCTCCTGTGCTGAGTGGGGCCAAGGCCTTGGCCTCCCTTGATTTCCCCCTCTCCTTTGCCAGTCCCACAGAGACGCCCCAGTGAGCTCATGTCTGTGCTGAGCTGCCCTATATATTTCCCAGCGCCCACACGCTCTCCCTCTCTCCACCCCCCACTTCTCTCCACCCTGCTGGCTGCCTCCCCCCACCCCTTCCTTTGCTATCATTATGAGAGACATTTGTCTGCAAACAGCTTCAGAGATTTCATCTGCTCCTGCTTCTGCCTGGCCTGTCTGCCCCTCCCGCTTCAGTCTCACAATGGAGGTGGAGTCTGAGTCTAGGTCCCCCTGGTCTCACCTGCTAATGATACCCAGGAGAGGGTAGGAGGGCAGGGGAAGGAGTACTGGCCTGTTGTGGATGTCAGGCCTTGGCACAGTGGTGACCTGGGGCGAGGATGTGTCCTCTGGGGCAGAGTGGTCTCAGCTGTAAGATAAGACCCATGGTAAACCTCATCCTTTTCTGTCTCTGCAGCCTGGCCACGATACCGGGTCGTGGGCTCTGCAGATGCCGGGCAGTACAACCTGGAGATCACTGACGCGGAACTCTCTGATGATGCTTCCTACGAGTGCCAGGCCACAGAGGCTGCCCTGCGTTCCCGACGGGCCAAACTCACCGTGCTCAGTAATGACCCAATGCCCTGCAGTGCTCCCAGGCCCTGTCTCTCCAGCTCTCCAACTCCCTCTCTAATTCCCTGGCTTGTCCCCTCTATTCCTGAGCCCCCAAACAGCCTTGGCTCACACCCCTTCACCCCTTCCTCAGGCCCAGCCCTCCTGCCTGGTTGCGCCTCTCTCTCAGCACTCACCCCTCCTCCTCTCAGATTCAGGGGCCTCCTTAGGGAGCAGGGTAACAAGGCTGGAAGGAATGGGCATGAGAGGACTGGGGCTGGCTCCTGCTGTGTCTGCTCCCAGCTATATAGCTTGTGTCTCAGAAGCCATGCTCCCAGAAGCCCACAGGGGCACAGAGCAGATGTCCCTCTGTAGTAACCCCCAGGCTATCTGCATAATGAAGGGACTCTTCTGCACACTGAGGTGAAGCCAGCTCTGCCCTACCCCTCTCCTCTCTCTCCTCAGCCCTTGGTCTTTCTGTCCCTCCAGTTCTGTGGTTTCCAGGAGCCTTGGCCTCAGGTGTCCTGCCTGCTTGCCTCTCTCCTTCCCTCCTTTCTTCCCTCCCTCCCTTCCTTCTTCCTGCTTGCCTGTACTGGGGCTTGAACTCAGGGCTTGGGCACTCTCCCTTAGCTTTTTCCATTCAAGATTTATGCTCTACCACTTGAGCCACAGCTCCACTTCCAGATTTTGATGGTTGATTGGAGATCAGAGTTTCATGGACTTTCCTACCTGGGCTGCTTGGAACTACACTCCTCAGATCTTAGACTCCTTAATAGTTAGGATTACAGGCATGAGCCACCAGCCCCTGGCTTCAGTTGTTCTTTCTCTGTCTGGCTCCCTGCAAACCCATCTTCTCTTTTATCATTACTCTATTTCTATCTCTTTCCTGTCTTCATTTGACCTATTCTGTTCTGCCTATTTGCCTTTTCTCTCACTTGACCCAAAGAATTGGGGAACAGGAGAGGAGGAGGGAAGATTCATGAGCTTAGACTCTATATGCTTTGCATTTGTGGGGGGAAGTAGGAATGTGATAAGTTGTGCAGCTGTAGCAGAAAGACTCCTTAGCTTCTGAGGGTCCAGAGGGCTGGACTGTGGTTGTACCTTGGCCATTTGGGTAAGAGGTCACACCCCAGGCACACGTTTCCTCCCTGGTTATGGTAAAGTGACATAATGCTGCCAGCCTTTTCTTAGCAACGGCCACCTTGTGCTCATGCACAGTGAATTGCAAACTGTGAAGATCTGGGCAAATGTGAAGTGTCAGAATAAGTGCGAACGGGAGGGCCCCAGCAGCTGGTGTCTCTGGATGTGAAGGCGCCAAGGGACTGAATGATTCAGGGATGGTGGGGGACTTTGCTTTTCTTCTCTGGGACTACAATGGGAAGGCTAGCCAGGAGCAGGACTGAGGTCAGAAAGCAAGAATTAAGAGACAGCACAGGATACCAGGAACTCCTCTCCGTCCTTTGCCCAGAGTGTGTGAGCCTCCCTGGTAGGCCGGCACTGTTTGAGAGCCATGAAACCTAGGAGAACTCCTCCCCTTCTTTTTCTTCCTCGCTGCCTCTATTTTGGGTGCTATTTGTGTCCTGCAGAACTTCCACCTTCACAAAATGCCCTGAGTTTCTTCCTTTCTCTCTCTTACCTCAGTATACAGCAAAGAGGTGACTGTGGGGTGGGGGGTGGGGAGATGAAAAGCCTGCTCAATGCCAAGTGTGTCAGGAGTAAGGCCTCATAGTCCATGGCCTGGAACAGTCAGAGAAGGCCTCTTGGAGGAGGAAACGCCAATGGGAACACTGGCTAGGGAAGAGCATTGTTAGAAAGCCTGAAAATGAATGAAGCAGAGCTACGGGCATGGGGAAATGACTAGCTTGTGGGAAGACATTGTCAGTGTTGTGATGGGGCCTTCCTGCTCCGTCTTGATGATTTGAATTGAGTGGAGCAGGAGAGACCACAGAGCTGAAAGGAAGCCAGGAATGCTTCTTCCCTTGTCTCTTTGTCCTATTTTTTTTCTTGAGCACTCAAATACCCCTGCCTCCTCCACCCAAGTCACCTAAATACTACCTGAATACCTCATGTTGGTAATAAGAAGGCATGATGTAGCTGGGCACCAATGGCTCATGCCTGTAACCCTAACTACTCAGGAGCCTGAGATCTGAAGATCGTGGTTCAAAGCCAGCCCAGGCAGGAAAATCCATGAGACTCTTATCTCCAATAAACCACTCAGAAAACTGGAAGTGGCACTGTGGCTCAAGTGGTAGAGTGTTAGCCTTGAGCTGAAGAGCTGAGGGACAGCACTCACATCCAGAGTTCAAGCCCCATGACCGACCAAAAAAAAGGAAGGCATGATATTCCCGCACCCCTCCTGCCTACTGCCTGCCCTCAGCCTTGGCCCACAGCAGTCTGGGGCCCAGATAACCAGGCAGGGCAGAAATGAGCAGTGGATCCTGGGATCTGTCTCTCTGCCCAGGCCAACCTCATGAACTTCCCTCCATCCTCTCATGTTTTCCTGGCTCCATGTCTCAGGCCAGCCTTCTTCACAGAGTGGCCTCTTTCATTTTGCTCCATGTGACTGGCTTTGAGAGGAGGCTTCTGCCACCTGCAGACCCAGATGTAGACGTAATATAGATCTGTAGACTTATGGCTTGTTATTCACAGAAGTAACAAACTGGAGGGCAGCAGAAATGAGTGTGGCTTTGAGGTCAGGAGGACATGGTCTTCCTCATCCCACCCCTCAGCCACTTAACACACTCTCATTGCTGGGCATGTGGGCAGATACATCCCAGAGCCTTGGTTCCTTGTCTATGAATTAGTGATATTCCCATGAAAGGATTAGTAAATGTACTTTGTGGTCAGGATGAAATGCAATCACATTCCCAAGGCATTTTAGCTGACCGAGGTAAACCTTCATGGGAATGGTAAGGGTGATTGACTATCTCTGGATAGCTCACAATTGGCTTCACCTCCTGGATCTTGCTTTTATCTCCACAATAACAGCCTTGGGGATTAAGTATCAATGTACCTTTTGACTTTTTTTTTTTTATCAAAACCGAGGCCACAGACATGTAGGCATATTGATATACAGATTTAAGTCACCAATCATAAATATTTGTTCATAAACACATAGACTCACACTCTCTAACTGTGGCTGAACTGACATTTCTACCCCCTTTCTTCCCTTTGGTCACATATGGAGGGCGGTGATAGGCTCGTGGAGCGTGGGCAGAGAGTTTGGAAAATTCTAAAGAACCTTATACTCAGCCCGGCACTGGTGGCTCATGCCTGTAATCCTAGCTGTTCAGGAGCCTGATATCCAAGGATTGCAGTTCAAAGCCAGTGCAGGCAGGAAACTCTGTGAGATTCTTATCTCCAAGTAACCACTGGAATTCCAGAAGTAGAGCTGTGGCTCAAAGTGGTAGAGTGCTAGCCTTGAGCAAAAGAGCTCAGGGACAGCGCCCAGGCCCTGAGTTCAAGCCCCATGACTGACCAAAACAAAACAGTACTTACGCTCCAGGTGGCAGCAAGGGAAGACTTCAGAGGGGCCCAGGCAGGTCCGGAGACCCTGAGTGTCCCCTCCTTCCCTATTTGTCTGCTTCTCACATTGCCTCCCACCTCCATCCTCATACCTGGCCCCTTCTGGCATTGGAACCAGATACACCAGGGAGTAAGGAGGAGGAGCAGGAGATTCAGAGGGTAATTACCCAGGCAGGAGCTAGAGCCACTGCTGGTTTTCTTCAGGGAGAAAAGCTAACAGATTTTACACTTCACAAGTGCCCGGCATGGTACAATCTATATCCAGTACTTCACTGACCTTCACAAGGGCCCAGGGAACAGGCATTGTTAAATCTCTGATGAAGAAACAGAGACTCCGTATAGGGACTCACTGCACATCACACCACAGGTAAATAAAGTTGTCAGTGTTTGAAACCAGGGCAGCTGATTCCAAATTCCATTCTTTCCCCACCAATACCAGTCAGTGTCCTTGAGCTGGATAGCCGAGGAAAGTTGTAGGCAGCTTCTTTCTACTGGAGACCCTGGGATAGAAATTTCTCTTCACTCCTCCAACTCTAGGACAGGCCTATACCATCCCCGCCTCCAAGGGCCTCCCAGTGTCTGTCTGCCTGTGTCTCATCTTTATCAAGATATTTTTATTGTTGGTGTTTTAAACTTTGCTTTTTGCTTGGTCATGGGGCTTGAACTCTGGGCCTGCATGTTGTCCCTGAGCTCTTCATCTCAAGGCAAGTGCTCTACCACTTGAGCCATAGCACCACTTCTGGTTTTTCTGGTGGTTAATTGGAGATAAGTCTCACGGACTTTACTGCCTGGGCTGGCTTTGAACCACAATCCTCAGATCTCAGCCTCCTTAGTAGCTAGAATAACAGGCATGAGGCATGGCTCATTTTTTTAAAACCAGCTTTTTTTTTTTGGTCATGGGGCCTGAACTCTGGGCCTGTGCACTGTCCCTCAGCTCTTCAGCTCAAGGCTAGTACTCTACCACTTAAGCCACAGTGCCACTTCCAGCTTTTTCTGTTTACATGGTGCTAAGGAGTTGAACCCAGAGCCTCATGCATGTGAGGCAAGCACTCTACCACTGAGCCACCTTCCTAGCCCTCTTCTTGGTTTTATCCCATCAATTAGTTGCTCATAAATTGACTCAGGAAGTCCTGCTCTCTACCAAGCTCTGGCTAGACTCTGCGGTTCTAAGAATAGCCCCTGCCCGCAGGAAACTTAGAGTTGGGTTCACCTGTGTGAGTGCTGTAGAATGAGATCCAGAATTTGTTAGCTTGAAACATCTGATTAGTTCAATTCCTTAAGCATTTAGCAAGGGCCTACTTTAGCCACCTATTAGGCACTGGAGACTACATACAAATGTTAATTTGAGAACACCTGGCCTGCTTTTCCAAGGAGTATCAGTTGTGGTGGGGGTGGAGATTTGTAAATACAGTTGGTGCTAAATGCTCTGGATAACTGGTGAGGGATGTGCATGGCAGGCCTTGTGCATCACCTGGGCTGTGAACCAGGATGGTAACAGTACGAAAGCCATCGGCGAGACAGAAACGTGCCACAAAGTGAGATGATGAGAAACGACAGGACTTGGCCTGAGGACCAGTGTGCTTACAATGAATGTCCCGAGCAGTTGTAGCCATTAAAGGTGTTTTGATCTGGAGCATGGCATAGTTTTAACTGTGTCATGGAGAAAACCCGAGGAGGGTGTGTGTGATGGATAGCGCTGGTGACGTGGGAGGGCCCATCTGGCTGGGGTAGGGCAGCGCAAGTAGGATGCGGTGGATGTAAGAAGCCCTGTGGAGGTAGACATTCTTCCCCAGGATGACTCAGACCTTGAGATAGCCCAATACTTTCCACTTGGATAGAGGCTAGGAAGAGATTCACAGGGGCTGGAAAGTTTCTGGTCTGAGGTCCTTGGGTGAAGCCACTGTGGAAGCAATAGATGTAGTGATTGTATATAGAGAGAGAAGGGTAGATGGAAGGAGGCCTTCCCAGCAAGGTGTTTGCCACACCTGGGGCTGACTTTGCCCTCTTTCCCCCCACAGTCCCCCCAGAGGACACCAGGATCGATGGAGGGCCTGTGATTCTGCTGCAGGCAGGCACGCCCCACAACCTCACATGCCGCGCCTTCAACGCCAAGCCTGCAGCCACCATCATCTGGTTCCGGGATGGGACCCAGCAGGAAGGGGCTGTGGCCAGCACGGTGAGACCCTGCCTGATCCTCTGGCTCATCTTAAGTCTAGCACCGGGTCACCTTTTCCTTTCCCACAGGGGTCTGATCACAGACTCCAGGGGCCCAGGTGCGAGGAAGGCCCTTCAGAGGTAATCTGGCCCAACTCCTGATTAAACAGGTGGGAACACTGAGGCCTTGAAGTAGGTTTCTAACTCTACTGTACCCTTCAGTAGTGGAAATGAAACAAAACAAAAAAGCTATACAATCTAGGCTCAGGTCACTCAGGCCTGTAATCCTAGCCACTCAGGAAGTTGAGATCTGAGGATCACAGTTTGAAGCCAGCCTAGGTAGGAAAGGCCACAAGATTTCTAGAAGTGGAGACAGCTAGAAGTGGAGATGTGGCTCAAGTGGTAGAGGGGAGGAAAAAGCCAGTCTTGAGAGGAAAAAAGTAGGGATCACACCCAGGCCCAGAGTTCAATCCCCAGTACCAACAGAAAAAAGGAAAGGAAAAGAAAGGGGAAAAGGGAAAAGAGAGAGGAAGGAAGGAAAGGGAGGGAGGGAAGAAGGAAACTGGCTACATGTATTAAAATATTTTAGTGGTCAAACAAGTAGATTTGCTAATGACATACTAAGACTGGATACACTTTCACTGCTGTCCCCCAAAGACAGGGGCATGGCCGTCTAACTGTAGGACCATAATTTGGTTCATGCTTTCTCTTAGGCTATTTGCCATGTGGGAAATGGCTTGAAGATTCCTATGATCGCTTTTGGGAATCTCAGCCTAAGGGTCACTGGGCCTATCTGAATTCTTGAGACTATCTTTGTCCTTATCCTGGAAGTGTCTGTGGTCTAGCTGGAGAGTCAAGAGACACTCGTGATTGCTGTGAGCAGGGCTGGGTGAGCTTGGAGGTCAGAGGGGCAGTCTGTCTGTGAGAGACTAGGAGAGCACCCTGAAGGCTGGGCTGTCCCAAGGAGGCTTCCTAGAATGGGAGGACTTGTGAACTCTGAGAATTCCCGGAATGAAGCTCCATCCCATCCCTTGGGGGAAAACTGCTGAACACAAAAGAATGTAGCCAGAAGATCCCATTAATAATAATAAATCAGTATGATATGTCTGGTGTAGTAAGTTCTTCACTTTAATGCGAGGAGTTAAGAAGGAAGAAAACTGGAGGTGAGGAAAAGAATATATGGAGACTTGTATTTTCTGTTCTGTTTTTCTGCAGACTTAAAACTGCTTAAAAAGCCAAATCTAAGCCTGGCACTTCTGGCTCAACATCTGTAAAACTAGTTACTTGAGGAGAGATCTGAGGATCGCGATTTGAAGCCAGCCAGGAAGGAAAAGTCTGTGAGACTCTTAATCTCCAATTAGCCACAAAATGCCAGAAGTAGAGCTTGTGGTTCAAGTTTAGAATGCTAGACTTGAACAAAAGAGCTTGGGGACAGTTCAGACCCCAGTACTGGCGCGTACGCGCGCATGCGAGCATACACACACACACATAAATAAATAACTGAAAGCCCACTTTATTTTTGTGCCAGACCTAGCGCTTGAACTTGGGGCCTGGGCAATCTCTGAGCTTCTTTGGCTCAAGACTAGTGCTCTACCATTTGAGCTATAGCTCCACTTGCAGCTTTTTTGTTCTCTTAATTGGAGATTAGAGTCTCATGGACTTTCCTGCTCAGGTTTAGCTTTGAACTGCCATCCTCAGACCTCAGCTTCCTGAGTAGCTAGGATTACAGGTGTGAACCACCAGTGCCCCAGCTCTAAAGTCTACTTTAAAGGAAATGTGGAAAGGAAATTGAGAGAAGAGATTTTTTAGTTGGACCACATCATTTCTGTCTTTGTCCTACTCTAGGAGTTGTTAAAGGATGGAAAGAGGGAGACTACGGTTAGCCAGCTGCTCATTAACCCCACAGACCTGGACATTGGACGCGTCTTCACGTGCCGCAGCATGAATGAAGCCATCCCCAGCGGCAAGGAGACATCTATAGAGCTGGATGTGCATCGTGAGTGGGGCCGTGGGAGAGGAGTGAGGGGAAGATGAGATATGGGCAGCCTTTGAGAAGCATAGAATGAGTGTGGCTCTCTTCATCCCTGTCTGTCCTGGTTTGGACCGTGAGTACTGAGGGATATGGAGAAAGGAAGTCTTCCTCCATTTCTAAACCAGTGTGTGACTTGGGAGGATGGTGAATCCTTCTGGGTCTCCATTTTGAATTATGATTAGTTGCAGAAAGTAAGATGTGGGCCATCATGATTCTTTATCTATAATTCCAAACTGAAGTGATTGTTGGGTGGCAGCACCTGAGCCCAGGCACTTTGTAGATTTATTTAACCTGACATTCACACATTTCACTGTAGCTGTGTTCATGTAGTCACTGTGTAGTGTTGCCCAGAGGCTGCTGGGGGTCTCCTACAGTAGAGAGGCTGTGGAAAATGTAGAAATGCATAGTCTTTAAGGTTTCACAAGGGATTGTAGACCTATTGTAGACCTGCTTCTTGGGATTGTCAGCGTTAAATCTAGTGTGGATGGTGCATGCTTACCTGATAAATGCTCAATCAATATCCTCTGCCCAGGGAACCATGAGAGGCTGGAGGCAGAGGGGGTGGTAGGCAGCAATTTGGGGGATGCTCCAGCCCCGTGGTTTTCAGTGACCCAAATGAGTCCACACCGACGCCTAGTGGCCACAGTTGGTTACTACAGTCCTTGAATAATTTGTTCCTTGGTGATTGGTCAGCTGGGGATTGCTTATTTATTAGACGCTGTATACTGTAAACCTGGATCCCCATAGTGGAGAAGTCTGAGGGTACATGCTAGGCAAGGAAAAGGAAACTTTAGGAACAGAAAAGATCCTGACTTCCTGTCCCTTCACTTGGCAGACCCTCCTACAGTGACCCTGTCCATCGAGCCCCAGACGGTGCAGGAGGGAGAGCGCGTAGTCTTCACATGCCAGGCCACGGCCAACCCTGAGATCCTAGGCTACAGGTGAAAGGGCTGGGGTGGGACTTACTCTGGGAATGCTGCTGGAGAGTCCCTGAGACCTAAGGGGTAGAGAGGGGACAGGAGCAATCAGCGTCCCTGGGCACAGTGGAGAGTGTCCTGAGTTCTGATCCCATCTTTGTGTTTCTTCCAACACGCCACCCCCCAGGTGGGCCAAAGGGGGTTTCCTGATAGAAGATGCCCATGAAAGCCGCTATGAGACAAATGTGGATTATTCCTTCTTCACGGAGCCTGTGTCTTGTGAGGTCCACAACAAAGTGGGGAGCACCAACGTCAGCACTTTAGTAAATGTCCACTGTGAGTAGCTGGAGGGGCAGGGACAGGAGACAGAACGGGGCCTTTGAAGACCTCAGGTGGAAGGTTAGGGAAAAAAAGCACCATGCAGCCGATAGAGTTGGGGCAGGGGGCACGATGACTATGAGGGGTAGCAGGGCAGAAGAAGGAAGAGAGGGTCATTAGAGTTGGCTCGCTAGGAGCTTGAGACCCTGATAAGTTACTTCTGTCTCCTTCAGTTGCCCCCCGGATTGTAGTTGATCCCAAGCCCACAACCACAGACATTGGCTCTGATGTGACCCTCACCTGTGTCTGGGTTGGAAATCCCCCCCTCACCCTCACATGGACCAAGAAGGATTCAAATATGGTAAGCCTCTCCCTGCCTGTCCTGGGTGCTGGGAAGAAGGGCTCTGGCTATGGGTGGGGGTGGCAGTATTATTTTCCTCCTTGAATCTGGGCTATTTCTAAGGTCTTGGGATTTAGAGAAGAACATTATATGGAATCAGTCTCAACCTCTTCACCAGCCTCTGCAAGGTGGGGTGGGAGATTGGAAAAGGGTCCAAAGAGATGCTGCTACAGTGGCCAGAGATCTGGTAAAGCAATGTTGAACAGGAAGTTAAGGAAGCTACCGAGGAGAGATGGTTGGATCCCACAACTCTAGAGATGCGCATTAGACAGTAGGAGCCAAAATTGCAGGGAAAGGAATTTCTAAACAAAACTTCTGGCCTGCTTTGGCAATAAAAACACTAGAACAGATCATCGGAAGGAACTGTATCCTCTTTTATTTGTGTGTATATGGGCTGCTGGTATTGAGACTTGAACTCAGGGCTTGGGTGCTGTCCCTTAGTTTCTTTTGCTCAAGGCTAGCAACTTTATTTCCAGCTTATTGGTGATTAATTGGAGATAAGGGTCTCAAAGACTTTCCTGCCTTTCAAGGCTTCAAAACGGCAATTCTCAGATCTCAGCCTCCTGAGTAACTAGGATTCTAAATGGGAAAAACAGGCTTCTGGCTAGGAACTGTACCCTCTTAAAATTACTGTAGCCATTGCCTGCCCTCTCTCACGCCCTCCCTCCTCCGTCCCTGCCCACCCTTGTAAAGTTGGTACCTTCAAATGCCTGGCTACCTAAAGACAGGGATGGATGAATCATCCGGACTCGGGAACCTGCTTTCTTTCCTCTGGCAATTCACTTGTGGCCCTTCCTGCTTTCTTTCCCATGCCTCCAATGTGGGGCCCTCATGGACCTAGGGGCCCAGGCCTCCTGGCTCCCCACCCGAGGCTGCTCTCTCTGCCCAGGTCCTGAGTAACAGCAACCAGCTACTACTGAAGTCGGTGACCCAAGCAGATGCGGGCACCTACACCTGCCGGGCCATTGTGCCTCGGATTGGAGTGGCTGAGCGGGAGGTGCCGCTTTATGTGAACGGTGAGTGGCCTGAGTGATGGAGGCCCTGCTGGACAAGGGCTGCAGCTCCTGACTATCCTGCCTGTGTCTCCTTGCTTTGTAGGGCCTCCCATTATCTCCAGCGAGGCAGTGCAGTACGCCGTCAGGGGCGACGGTGGCAAGGTAGAATGCTTCATCGGGAGCACACCACCCCCGGACCGCATTGTGAGTATGGGGATGAGTCTCAGAACAGCCGTGCGGGCCCCCCCTCCCCTTGTCCAGCCTCCTCAGCTCATGCCATTTCCCCATCCCTTTTCTGGTAGTCTCATCTTGTGCCTTGTCTGTGCCAATCACACCTCATCCTTTATTTGTGTGACCCTGAGAAATTAGCGCCTTGTTGTGTGTGTGTGCACACGCACATGCACGTGTGCACCAGTACTAAGACTTGAACTCAGGGCCTAGGTGTTGTACCTCAGCTTTTTTTCCATTCCAGACTTACACTATCCTACTTGAGCCACAGCTACCTTTTAGCTTATTGGTGGTTAATTGGAGATAAGAATCTCATGGATAGGATGGGCTGGGAAGGTGGCTCAGTGGTAGAGCGCTTGCCTTGCATGCATGAGGCCCTGGGTTCGATTCCACCAGCACCACATAAGCAAAAAGAAAAAAATGCCGGAAGTGGCACTGTGGCTCAAGTGGTAGAGCGCTAGCCTTGAGCTGAAGAGCTGAGGGACAGCACCCAGGCCCAGAGTTCAGGCCCCATGACCTCCCCCCCAAAAAAAAAAAAATAAAAAGAATCTCAGGGATTTTCCTGACTGGATTGGCTTCAAATCACAATCCTTAGATCTCAGCCTCCTGAGTAGCAAGGTACAGGCGTGAGCCATCTCGGTTTCCTCATCTGTAAAATCAGAGGTCATAACCCCTACCTGTAGGATTTCCTTGAGGAGTCATGGTAGCTCTCCTCTCGCCTTCCTGGCAGAGGTGCTCGCCCAGCCTTTTCTTTCCTCCCTCCTCCCCTCCCTCTGCCCCTGCCTCCCTCTCCATCAATTCTTTCCCTCCCTGTTCCACTTTTCTCTCTTCTCTTGCCTTTTTCCCCACTAGCCCTTCTCCACACACCCATCCCCGCCCCATCTCCTCTCCCCCATGCTATGAGCCATTAATTCCTTCCGTGACCATTAACCGTCAAACCCCTCATCACATTTAATGACCATTTGGCTAACTCCAGGGCTGCCCAGGGACTTTTCATTACCACGGCTGCCCAGGCAGCAGGCGGCCGGGTTCCCGGGGGGCTTTCCCTACAGAGCTGAGAGAATTGATCTCTGGCAAGGAGCCAATGCTGGGCTGATACCCCTCCTTAGCCTGTGTTCTGGGTGAAGGCACGCAGGGGGATGTGTTGGCATGGAGGGCAGGGATGGGATCCTGCAGGATGCTACTCTCTGGTTCCTGGATGGGCCTCCAGAGCCAGCCAGGCAGACTTGTGTGGCTTTGGTTAAAGGTAGGATTGAAGGTGGAATTATGCATGGTTAGAATTGCAGCTCTAGCTGGAGGAAACCTTGACCACTGTCATGTGCCACCCTGGTTCTCTCATTTTACCCAAGGAAAAACTGGGATTCAGAGATGGAAAGAGAGGGGTAGAAGAGCCAGGACTGGAGTGTGTGTGGCGGGGGAGGGGATGGGGACACTGCTGGGCACTGTCCCTGAGCTCTTTCGTTCAAAGCTAGTGCTCTACCTCTGAGCCACAGCATCAATTTCCAGTTTTCTAGTGGTTAATTGGAGTTAAGAGCCTCACAGACTTTCCTGGCCAGTCCGGTTTTGATAGGTGATCCTCAGATCTCAGCCTCCTGAGTAACTAAGAATACAGGCAGGCATGAGCCACCAGCTCCTGGCTGGTGTCTTAATCCAGAACATTCTTTGCAACGTATGGGGTTCCCAAATGTCAGCTGCATCCATCATGGAATCATTATAAAAACAGAATCCTGGAACTCGTCCCTGGACATTTCTATTTAGGACATAAGTCCCAAGAATCTACCTTTATAGAATATCTCTTTGAGAGCCACAGCTTGTCCTAGACCAGAGGTCCAGTGCCAAGGGTTTGAGGTTGTGGCTGCGACACAGATGGTTACAGGGTGAACAGGGTGAGTGCAGGACTGGGCTTAGGGGACATATCAGAGGTGTCTTAAGGGTTCAGGTTACAGACACCTGGGAACTTCTGCCACCTGCCCCTTCCTTATCTGCTTCCTGTCCTCCTCACCCCAGGCCTGGGCATGGAAGGAGAACTTCCTGGAGGTGGGGACCTTGGAGCGCTATACGGTGGAAAGGACCAACTCTGGCAGCGGGGTGCTGTCCACGCTTACCATCAACAATGTCATGGAGGCTGACTTCCAGACCCACTACAACTGCACTGCCTGGAACAGCTTTGGACCCGGCACAGCCATCATCCAACTGGAGGAGCGAGGTGACTGGTTCTGCTGGTGCCCAGCTGGGGCTCAGGGCAGGCTGAGACACACTGAGATTCAGAGATGAGCCAGGATTGGAATGCAAGGTTCTGGAGTCTTCTCCCCGCTCCCCCCACCCCTCCCTTAACTCCTGGTGCTGTTCCTGAGCTCTTTCACTCAAGGCTAGTGCTCTACCACTTTGAGCCAGTTTTCTGGTGCTTATTTGGAGATATGAGTCTCACAGACTTTCCTGCCTGGGCTAGCTTTGAACCGTAATCCTCATATCTCAGCCTCCTGAGTAGCTGGGAATTCAGGCATGAGTCACCAGGACAGAGTATGGAGGGAGAGACTCCTCGGGGGCCTCCCATCCAGAACCTGCCTTCATGTTCAGCTAGGGAAATTCACTCACATTGTGAACATTGATTGATCATCTTTATGTGCCAGGCTCTGTAGTAGGAGCTACAGGGACATCCAAGAATACGATATAGTTTCTGTTCACAGGAAACTCAGCTTAGTATAGGAGCTTTTAGCATGGAAGCAAATGAACTCGGAGAAAAATCTAACAATCAGGATAAAGAATTAATACTTGTTGAGTTGTAAGGATTAAATGAAAGAATATGTATAAATACTGGGCACATAATAGGTGTTCAGAAGTTCACGTTCCCCCTCACTTCTTCAAGAACCAGTAATCTGAGCGACAATTCCCTCCTTTCAGCACCTCTGGCAGAATGAAGTCCTAAGTCTGATAAGGGAAAGACAACATTTGTTTGTTGCTGATATTTTCCTTTTTTTTTTTTTTTTTTTTTTTTTTTTTTTTTTTGCTTTTTGAGAACCATTCAGTCAGGGGGGATTTGGGGAAGCCATCTGGTCAAGTTTAGCTGAAGATGCCTGCGGGGTGAGGTATGACAGGTGGAGAGTACTTAGGGGCTCTGTGGGGAAGGTTGTCAGAGGGAAAAAGTCATTTAGTGGATCTGGAGGCAACTGGGACTGCCTGGTAGAGAAGGCCAGAAGTGGGATTCCTGTGCATCTCAGTTCTAGAAGCAGGAGGGGAAGTGGAGCTGGGGTTCAAGTGGTAGCATGCTGGCCTTTAGCAAAAAAGCTCAGGGATAACGACGAGGCCCTGGGTTCAAGCTCCAGGACCAGCAGAAAAGGAAGAAAAGAAAAAAGGGAGGACTTGGGAGGAACGTTGGAGTCCCAGGAGGCTAGTACAGATGGAGCAGGCACAGCACGAAGCTGGAGAATTTGGAGGCAGCAGACTTCAAACAAGTGCTCAGCCCAAGAAGGAAGGGGTCAAACCTTCCAGCAGGTGGGACAAAAGAGACCTGACAGACAACAAGCCAGGGCCCTGCTACAGTAAGGATAGGGCCTAATCATGACCTCAGCTTTGGTCAGGCTGGAACACAGACCCAATCCAACCACACTCCAACCTAGACTTACACATCATAAGGTTCACAAGCCATGCCAGAACTGAGCCTTGTGCGCAGCCCAGGGCTGCCATTGTAGCTTGTGGGGAACCATCAGGCAATGCTAAGCTCAGATCCCATTGTGGCTTCCTCCTCACCCCTCCTCCTTTTCCTTTCCCCATCCAAAGAGGTGTTACCCGTGGGCATCATCGCCGGGGCCACCATCGGCGCAGGCATCCTGCTCATCTTCTTCTTCATCGCCTTGGTGTTCTTCCTCTACCGGCGCCGAAAAGGCAGTAAGTCTGGGACCTGTATAAGCACCATTTCTGTCTGCCTCCCCTCTACCCTAATCCCCAGCCCAGGAGGGGCTGGAAGCAACCACTGCAGAGGCCATCAGCAAAAACATCTGGCCCAGCTGCATCTATGTCCCCGTCCCAGGTCGCAAGGATGTCACCTTGAGGAAGCTGGACATCAAGGTGGAGACCGTGAACCGAGAGCCACTGACCATGCACTCCGACCGTGAGGATGACACTGCCAGCGTCGCCACAGCAACCCGGGTCATGAAGGCCATCTACTCAGTGAGGGTCCTGCTCTCCCCAGCCTAATGCGTTCTCCACACTCCTAGAACCGGCCCCATCTGCTCTCATATCATAGCTGCAGCCCTCTCCTCCCTCAGTGAGCCCACCCCCGTCCTCTGTGTACACGCATGCACTTACACACACACACACACTCGTGCCAAGCTAATTTCCCTCCAGCAGAGTACAGGTAGGGGACAATTCTCCTTAGGCTTCCTCTGCCCTGTCCTTCCTCACAAGGGCAACATTGGAAGCCCTTAGATCTTCTCTGGCCTAACCCCCACCCCCACCCCCCGCCCCCTTAGGCTAGGATGAGGAAATCATCCCCAGAGAGCAACAGTCATACAGTGACGGTCACATTCATGTTAGCAACAAAATGACTGCCAGAACCCAGGCCCCTGGCTTCCTCCCAGCACACCCTAGAGCCTGGGCAGGAAAACAGTATAGACGCAAGTCTGCCCCTGACCCAGACCCTTCCCTTAGCAGTGGCCTTGGGGCATGGGGTTGGGGAAGGAAGACAAAAGCAAAGTCCTCATCTCCTGCCTCTTCCTGCTCTGCAGCCCTTTAAGGATGACGTGGACCTGAAACAGGACCTGCGCTGTGACACCATCGACACCCGGGAAGAGTATGAGATGAAGGTAGGGAAAGCAGGGACTGGCTGGGAAATGGAGCCCAGGCCCTGCCGTGGGGAGGTGGGAGGCTGGGAGAGGCGTCAGGCTGAAGAAACAGAGGAAGTGGAATGGCACAGGGTACTGTCGGGGGAGGGCTCAGAAAGTTGTGATGAGACCCCCGTCCTCTTCAAGAGGAAACTTAATGGTCTCCATCCTCTTCCACTGTCCCCCAGGACCCCACCAACGGTTACTACAATGTGCGAGCCCACGAAGACCGCCCGGCCTCTAGGGCAGTGCTGTATGCTGACTACCGAGCCCCTGGCCCCACACGCTTCGATGGTCGCCCCTCATCCCGGCTCTCTCACTCCAGTGGCTACGCCCAGCTCAATACTTACAGCCGGGCACCTGCCTCTGACTATGTCCCTGAGCCTACACCCTCCGGCCCTGCTGCCCCAGCCGGCACCGACACCACCAGCCAGCTGTCCTATGAAAACTATGAAAAGTTCAACTCCCACCCCTTCCCCGGGCCAACTGGGTACCCCACCTACCGACTGGGCTATCCCCAGGCCCCACCCTCTGGCCTAGAGCGGACCCCATACGAGGCATATGACCCCATCGGCAAGTACGCCACAGCCACCCGATTCTCCTACACTTCCCAGCACTCGGACTACGGCCAGCGGTTCCAGCAGCGCATGCAGACTCACGTGTAGGGGCCAGCACCCCGCTTGGGCATCTCTGCGGGGCAGAGGAGAAGGCTTTCACAGCTGTTCCCTGATATTCAGGGGCGTTGCTCCTTGCTCCCTTCTCAGACCAGCCTTCCTCCTCCCGCTATGGCAGGTGGGGAGCAGGTCTCCCAGAAACACACCCCCCCCTCCCCAATCCCGAGGATGGTGCTCTGCGCATGCCCCAGCGTCTTGGGCCTGCCCTTCCCTCTTCTTCGGGAGGAGGTGTCTCTTCTGACCTGCGTGCTTGCTTGAGACCCCAGCGTGGGGACAGGGAAAGTGAAGGCGGGGAGAGCAGAGTGGGCACTTTTTAGCATTCCCTTTCGATCCCACCCCTCTGTTTTCCCATGAGTAGACGGAGCAGTGGAGTAAAATGGACTGGGCAGGCTTTGCCCTGGGGACCATGACGTATGGGAGTCAGTGGCTCTGGCACAGTCTCTGTGGTCTGTTTTTACATCCTGGGTACATTGCTTTCCTCTTCGGAGGCCTGCAGATGGGACCTTGGATTTATTTTAGTTGTTGTCTTCAGAACAGCTCTGACAGTTGAATTCACATCCAAGCCCCTATTCTGCTGAAATCAAAATGCCAGTCATCCTGGCTGCTACTGTGGGCATTGGTCTGTCAGCTACAGAGGGATCCAGAGATTACCCGTAGCACCGCTCCCTTCCCTTCTCTGCTGAGTGGGCCAGATAAGTTCAGATTGTGGTAGAGAAAGGATAGTCAGGACCTTAACCTTAATTGACCAGAGACCACTGTGCCCTATGTGGCACTTCCCAGATCTAACACTAGAGATAGCCATTAAGCCCTCTTACCCCTTACCTACCCCACTTCTTGGCTTTGGCAAGTAGTATAGTGGGGTCAGAGTGCTACAGACTCTTTTTCAAAGGCAAGAGCAACAAAAACAGTGATAGGCTCATTTGGAAAGGAAGCTTGCAGGAGTTCCCGCACACAAATACAAATGTCAGTAGAAAGGAAGGAGGCGCCTGTTCTCCATCAGATTCCTAACCCAGCATTACTTGTCAGATTCCAAGCACTTTGAGTCCATATTTATACATCCAGGTGGTGAGACCTGTCACACCAGCAGGTGGGCTTTGATGCCTCCCAGACTGCTGTCCTATCCGAAGCCCTACCGGCTGGTCAGAGATTGCCATCCAGGAGGCGTGGATGATGTTCTCTCCAAGTTTTAGTTTTGTTTCTTTTCCTTGGACCAATCAGATTCCTTCCACTTTTAGTGCCTTGAGTATTGAGCTTTGGGTGTGGGTGTGGTTGCATACAGAGCAGGTACTCATGAGCCTCAGGCAGGCTGTCCAGTGATAGCATCAGGAGAGATAGGTGAGGGGCAGAGGGCCTGGAAATAGCCCTGAAGGAGAGCTCATGCTGATCCAAAGGAGACAGTAGCATGGAAGGGCACTGTAGGCATTCCATAGCACATGCTTTCCCATCCTCTATTTAGTGCATACCCCCCTCCATATTCCATGCCACTGCTTCTCAACCGCCACCTTCTGACCAAAGAGAATAGTAGGCATTCCAAAGAATCTGTACCTCTGCCTCAGCCTCCCCACGAAGTCGCATCTGGAGTTGGCTGTTCTCCACCTGCCCATCGCAGCCAGCCTGGTGGGCGCACACCCTCCCCCTGCACCCTTCTCCCCGCCCTGTACAATTCCCAGAATGCTCCTTGCCCTTTCTCGGTGGTCACCATCCATTAGTCATGTTCACTTTAATGAGTTACATGCTCATCAGCCACGGGCCATCACCACCCTTACAGATGGGCCTGTGGGGTGACATTCCCAGCCATCCCCTTGCTGATAAAGACCAGATAATATCCAGGAAAATGAGTAGCTTCAGTTCAGACTTGACAGTTTCTGAGATCTCTTGCACTTGAGACTTGGGGCAGTTTCTGCAGAGTGGACCCTACCTGGGGCATTACAAGTGTCCAGCTGTATTCCATCCCTAAAGATTCCCACCTCCCCCAGAGGCCTTCTGATAGCGGTGAGATCTGTTAAGAATGTAGGTTCCAGTGCAGATAAATTCATACAAATTTGTATTTTCATAGATACCAGAAACCATGGGTAATCCACTTTTTTTTTAAAAAAAAAAGTCATTTTTTGTTTTGAGTTTGGCCAAGTTTTCTTATTTCCCCATTTTGTTTCAGCAGTAGGTCCTCTTGTGTTGAAATGGTAGGAACACAGGTCACGAGGTACCTCAGCACTGCTGGGAAATGGTTGAGAAAGGACGCCTGGTCCAGACAGCTGTGCCACTGTTCCCCACTTCCCATCGCCAGGGCCCCTTCCCATTCCCCAATGCCAGTACCCCACAGCATCGTGCACTGTGCAAAGTGCCGACAACCAAAGCAGTCTGTGTCCTCTGTAACTTAGACTCTGCATGATCAGAATCAAAGTTGGGGACCCATCTGTTAGGGCCTCTGGAGAGTTGAAGGTGCTCTTGGTCTCGGGCCTTTCTCCTCTTCAGCATGGTGATGCCAGCATGGGTGATCTTGATCACCCGTGATGTTATTGTTTTAGTAGAAAGAGCAGAAGGTTGGGGGTCAGGAGATCCAGGACCCTGTTCCTGCAGCTGCTATTTGCTGAGTGACCTTGGCTTAGCCTCTTCACATTCACTGCCTCCAATTTTCTGGCCTGTGAAATGCAGAGAAAAGGTTGCACCAACCTAAAGCTATTGTTCTATTTTTACCATGTTCATTTAGAGAAGGGGGTGGGGGGAAACTTCCCATCTCTGTCAGGGAGCTGGGAGCAGTAAGCAGTCAAGGGAGGGCCAGGGAGCAGGAAGGTTCTCTCCCATTGTAAGTCTTCCCCTTGGCCTAATGGATTTTTGTCAGCTACCCCCAAACCTAAGTCTGACTTTGTGGTTGGCTATGTGATTTTGACAGGTCCACAAAGGTGTTTTTGGCCAGGACAGGACATGGTAAATTTATCATGTGCCTGTATTACTTGTTGCGTAGGAATCAAGAGCAGCCATTTTCCCACCTGGTTCTAAGGAACGTTAACCTGTCCTGGAGACAGCTCCCCTTCTTACTAAGCCAGGCGATGCCTGCAGACAAGGTGACTTGAGTTGGAGGGCAGGGGTGAGTACAGCTGATCTCTTCAGCAAGGAGAAGATCTAAAGGGGGAAGAGGGCGAGAGCAGTTTTAACAGAAGCTCTGGGTCCCAAAGAGATTTTTATGGCTCTGGGTGGCTTTGTGGTCTGTTAGTGGTGGGTCCCACCTGCATGCTCAGTTTTGGATCTCCCAAAGGCCATCCATAGGGTTGACATGAAGCAAAACCTATCCTAAGTGAGAAAGGAGGAGGCAAGGGTGGATCAGAGCCAGGCTGACACAAATGAGGAAATGTTAGCTCATCTATGCCTTCTCTGGATGATGGGCTGTCTCCTTAGACAGCAATTGCTGCTGTCCTTGCGGTTCTGAAGGGCCATCTTCCTGCCCTGTGGATGAAGCACATGGTGGGGAGTCTGACTGCCCTTATGCCCTATTGTTAACATGGGAGCCGTGCATACCAGACCCTCTATAATAGAATTGGATGGTCTCCCTGTACCCTCAACCTTCAAACAGCAAGGTCAGGCCATTTGGCTTGCGTCACTGCCTCACTACTCTGTGGACATCTCTGTTCCTGCAGCGGAACTCTAGGACCTCTGAAGACCACTCCAGGCTCAGAAACCCTCGCCTCTGACCATTTCGTTCTATGTGATCTGAGTCCAGGCACTGGTCTCTGCCTGGGCAGGTCATTCTGCATGTCAAGGGAGTTTCCAGAACTAAGTGGAGCTCCTGGCCCTGATGAGCCCCAGGAGGAGCACAGGAAGGTGCATAGACCAAGAGATGTCCTTGGAGAGGCATTTATTTTGTGAAGAGCCTATAAAATTAGCATATAAATATCTCATTCCCTTCTCCCTCTACCTTCCCCCTACTCCTGTGGTCTTTTCTCCTTAAGGCCCAACTGTTTTTGAGCCATCCGTGGCTCACATCTTAACAGCCTAGATCTGAAATTCCACCTCTGGGTTGGTGGGGAGAGGACTAAGATATATGGCCCCAGATATTGTGATTTCTGGGGTTGGGGATTGGAAAGGGAGGGAAGAACCCCATTTTTGTGCATCACTGTGAGGGAGCTCCAGGCCCTGTCCCTGGAGAGTTAATTGCTGTGCAGGAGTCACAGGCCATACTGGGCAGCTCTGGTTCAAGCCTGCCCTTAATGAGATAACTCTATGATGTGCATAGAACTATCATTCCCACCAGTCTGCTGTTTCCCCCACCCCTCACACACCAATTCCTGGTTTTTTGGAAGCTCTTACCACTAGCCTATGAGAGTTGATGGCCAGGACTCCTGTTGGCTTCTGGAGCTCTTTTAGATACAACCACCTGAACTCTGGGGAGTGAACCAACTTTGCCAACACAAACTCTTGACACAATGTCTTTAGCAATAGTAACCCAGAAGATTTTGCTGCCTCTTATTTTATCAGGAAGAGGCCCCAGGGTTCCTTGTGGTTACATTTTTCTGTGCCCAACTATTCTTGGAATTACAACCTCTATTTCTGGCTCCAGTTCAGTTTTCTCTAATTCCAAATTCTGATAATAAATGGATCCATGATGATAATTAAGAGAAAAAATTATATATATATATATTATTTTTGTTAGGACAAACCATCGTAGATTTTTAGCAATGTGTATCTGTGTCCCTCACACTTTTTCCTATTCTGCCTTTTTTTCCTTTTTTTTAAATATTATGTACTATATTTTTAGTCTCAAACACACTATATATTATATATATTTAATTTTTTATATATATAAATATAAATGTTTTAAAAAGTGCAATGGTCTGTGTCGTTAAATGCACGAGTAACTATTACCCAAAAACCTGCCTGGTTTGAGGTAAAATGGTCTATCTAGGTTTGGAACAAAAGAAGCTTGGGACTGAGACTGCAAAAGTTATGTTTGTGTCACCTCCTGGCTGTATTTCAAACACATTCACTCGTTTGTGATTGTTACAGAAACCTTAGGCCAATTACAACAGTTCAGGAACACATAGCCAGGAGGCGTGTGTGTGTGTGTGTGTGTGTGTGTGTACGCGCGTGCGCCAACTATCATTTAGGAAGTTTTTCTGCTTAGGCTTGCATTCCCCCCACCCCCATTTATTGTTGTTTTAGAGGTGATATATAGCATGGTTACCTTTACATACATCCAGAAATAAGTACATTTGGGCTGGGAATGTGGCTCAGTGGTAGAGCGTTTGCCTTGCATGCATGAGGCCCTGGGTTCAATTCCCCAGCACCACATAAGCAAAAAGAAAAAAAAATGGAAGTGGCACTGTGGCTCAAGTGGTAGAGCGCTAGCCTTGAGCTGAAGAGCTGAGGGACAGCGCCCAGGCCCAGATTTCAGGCCCCATGACTGGACCCCCCCCAAAAAAAGAAGTACATTTCCTCTCACATAGTGTCCTCTGTCCTTTATTCTCTCCCATTCCCTCCCTCCTATCTCCACCCACAAGTAGCATAGTTCACTTTCATCAATGTCCAGTACAGCCCAAGGCACTTCACTGCTCTACTTTTTTACCCTTTTTCTCTGATTCTGTGACTTCCTCCCACCCTCAGATGTGGATGTGAATGCACTGTATATGAGGTAGAGTAGAGTCAACAAAAAAAGAAAAATCAAATTAAGGAAAAAGTCTTTTGTCGGGCACTGGTGGCTCACACCTATAATCCTAGCTACCCAGGAGGCTGAGATCTGAGGGTCGCAGTTCAAAGCAGGCAGGGCAGGAAAGTCTGAGAAACTTATCTCCAATAAACCACCAGAAAACCGGAAGTGGCACTGTGGCTCAAGTGGTAGAGTGCTAGCCTTGAACTGAAGAGCTGAGGGACAATGTCTAGGCCCAGAGTTCAAGCCCCATCACTGATGAAAAAAAAAAAAAAAGTCCTTTGCTCAAGGATGAATTCTTACCATTCGAGCCACAGCTCCACTTCTGTCTTTGTGATAGATCATTGTCTCAGGGATTTTCCTGCCCTGGCTGGCCTTGAGCTACCAACTAGTAGCTCCATGTTTTGGAACATAGCACCCACATATCTGTGGAGAGAGGAGGAAAGGCTTTGAATCTGGGGTCCAGACTCCCAAGGAGTTGGAACTGCATACACAGAAGACTGGTTTCACTGACTGAAATGCTATACTTTGAGTGGAACTAAGGAAAGTGACCAGGTCTCCAACCTTTTGAACTTGAGGAACAGAATGAAGAAGCAGGGCAGCAGTGTGCACACACAGACCGTCCTGCCCAGAAAGCCTAAATCCTCCCAGTTTCGTTAAGTTTGCTGGAGTTTCACATTGCTCATTTCACAGGAATGCCTGAGGATTCCTGGACTTGCTTTCAGATAATGATTTTGAAGCTGTAAATCATTAATGAAATACAAGGACTTACTGTTTTCCTCATCCAGTTAATGACCAAACAAACTCAACGATTGTACACAAGGGACCCAGAACACAGAGCCAGAGAGGACATGAGGACTGAAACAAATACTTTAGAGATGACACAAGCCATGGCTTGGGAGTTGGAAGTTACAGCCCAGGAGCTGCAGATGAGGAGAGCCGTGGCTGGAGGCCAGGACCCAGGGCCTGTAGGTCACCTGAGGTAATTATAATCCGGATGTTAACAAGAGGGCCAGATTGCAGGATGAATCAAGTATATTGCACTGGCCCTAGAGGATCGATAAGTAGTACTGATCGTCAGGATCCAGAAGCAAAAGGAAGAGTGGAGACAGGAGGGAGAGCTGCAGCACTGAGGCCTGGATGAATTCTGTTAGTCCAGGTGGTAATGGTTGGCATCCTTTCTGTACTGTGTGGTTGTTTGTGTGGCCTGCCTTCCAATGTGTGCAACCATTTAGGACACATTCTATTCACTTTGCATCCCCAGAGCCAATAGGTATTGCCTATAAGGCTTATAGATTAGCCACCATCTGAGTTCCCAGGGCCCCAACCCACACCCTCCTTTTTATTTTGTGTCAGTACTGAGGTTTGTTTTAACTTGATGGTTGATTGGAAATAGTCGCACAGACTTTCCTGCCCAGGGAAGCTTTGAACCACGA